TTCGAGCTCATCAGAATGCCTTTGCGCACTTATCAGAGCAGAAATTAACGCAAAACCCAGTAACAATTTAGGAGAAAGAGGATCATAATTAGTAGTTAGTTGCAGCTACCTAATGCGTACCCAAGGCTAATAAAACTTTGTTTCAAAGCCTCAAGACTTTACACAACAAGCTGCTATTGCGAAATTTATTTCCCCAATTCTAAAGTTCACTTAACCGTTGACTAAGCTGGTCACCAAAAGACAGCAGCCAAAACATGAGTAAAATTTACGGTTGCTCAAACTGGAGCCCAACTACTCTAGAACCTCAAAACTCGTCTTTGATAGCCTCATTGTGGTCGGGGTAGGTGTCTCGGGTTGTGGCTGGTCACCGCTCCCTTGTCGACATCCGGGTTGGTGGACCACTGGTAGTTCACCTAGGGGAGTTGGCCAAAATCCCTGATTCCAAACCAACCAAGAGGAGGCGTACGAACCGCACACCCTGGTTGTCGACGTGGTAACCGGATAAGTTCTTCATCGAAGTGTATTAGGCACCTTGGACGTTCGACCCCGTCTAAAGGGCGTGATCCGATGAACTAGACACCGGATCCGAATGGATGGCGGTTCTCAAATACTGCCCCGCTGCCTTGCAGGCATTGATTAGCAGAAGGCTCCGGTTGTGAATTCCTCAAGAAAATTCACCTGCCTTAGCCTGGACCACTTGGCAGTATCCCGCGCACCTGCAAACCATAGAACATATTTAAAGGAGTCCTTTGTAACCTGATTCGTTTGGCACAGTTTGGATCAGTTATGTGAAAGAATAATAGCAATGTGTCCCATAACACAATCCTCCCCTGCTAATGAACTCTGAAACGGTTTTGCGAAGGGGATCATCCGCTTTCCATTTACGATCGTCTTCAACGGAAAGTCAAGTGACTAGTGATTATTCCCTTACCTCCTTTCTGCCATCACTAGCCCATCGCTTGTTTAGCTTTCGCTTCTCTACCGTCACTAGTTTTTGGTACATCAGAGATTGTCTCGAAAGTTTCTCTTCCTGCAAATTTATCCCGCCCATCTTGTACACACCGTCATCCCCAGGCACTTGACTTACTTAGTTACTTCAATCTTCTCTCTTTCCGGACTACAAAGTCGTGCGGCACCCCTGCACTTTCTTCCCCTCAACTTACAACCTAGCCGTTTTGAGACGCAGGATCAACAAGCTGGATCCAGCTTTCCCTTCTATAGTATGTTTTTCGACTATAAGGATATCCCTTTCAATGTAATTCGGTGTGGCAAGAACGGTGAACAGTAGATAAAGTGGTGGGGTCCCAATTTTTACAAGCATTATACCGGCTGCTACCATGTTCTCATTATAAATTTTCTTCATCGCGATAGTAAAGCCAAAGAACCCTGCCTTCGCCTCACAGCAGTTCGGAGTCGGAATAAGAAATTCATAACAAATGTGACAAAGCTTATATTGGTATGGGCAGATCATCGACAGCTGAGTAACATTTATCGTACAAATCACCATACTCATCTGATCTGGAAATGAATACCACTGGCAAGGAGCCAACTGTCCCGGTGCTTGCTGCAATATCCATCCTTGAAGGCACATAACAATACGGAATGTTGAATTCTTCGCACACGATAGGAATATGAGCTATGGCGTCCATCGGACTAGCATCGCCTGCAAGTATTAAAATACCAGACGCTTTTTTCTTTTCGATTGCCTTCAGGATTGACTTAACGCCGGAATCAGTTTTCTTATTCCTTTTTGCTTTTCTGGTTAGTTTAAACAGCCTTTTGGCCAATTTAGCTGGTGCCATTGGTTGAGCGATTGCGTTGCAGTACTTTGCTTTTTCTTCATACGGGAGACTGGCATAATCGCCATTATTCTCCAAGACATCACCATTCGAATCCGTCATGCTGCAAAACCGGTCCGTAATGTAGCTCCCGC